TTCTTGTGCCCTTGTGGAACCCCCCCCCCCCCCCTCCCTCATGATTTAAATTCCTCCTGAACAGTGCATTCTTTCACATAGGACTGTGTATATGCCCTTCTGTTACTGCTGTATAAATAGTGGCTAGTCTGCAGTGAATGAGGCTATTCATAGCTATGCTCATTAGATCCAGACATAGAACATCTTTTACTTTTCTGTTCCTCGCTACATTTTGTTCTTGAAAAAGAATCATGTGGTTTCTCTATAAAATTTGTACCTAATTTCATTGTTAGTTCGTTTGGGTTTGTATGCATGTGCATACAAAGATCATGGTAAGATAATGGAATATTATATATCATAATGTGGGTTTACGATTAAGTAAGCAGGCATTTAAAAATGTGACTTACTAGTTTCCCAGGTGGTCCAGGTGGGCCAATAGGACCTGCCTCTCCTCTGCCACCCTTTATAAGAAAATAAACAAATGTCAGATACAATAGAATGCATACTGTATATAGGCATACATCTAGCACTATGAATTCTAATAAAATGAGCACTTAGTAATTTCAATACAATGTCATTTACATTAGCTTGTAATTAATTACAGCCAGTTCTCCAGCTTTGTATGGCTTGAACAGTACTTATTCACAACTGAACATTTGGCACTGCACTGGATCATTTAAGATAATTTAACTGTATTAAATTACATTCTCAGGCTTTAATAAGGTCCAGTGCAATGTTAAAACTCCAAATAAGAAGTGATATTTTACTCTTCTCACTGCTGCAAATTGCTGCATGCTTAAATCCAGTTGGACATAAATATTGTTCTTCACACATCTCTAAAATAAGCCTAACTTATATATTTTATATATTTTTATCCTTTTATATTACAGAGATACAGTCATGGCCAAAAATATTGGTGCCCCTGCATTTCTGTGAGATAATGCACCACTGTTGCAATTACAAATGTTTAGGCATTCTCATGTTTATTTCTTTTGTTTGTATTGGTATGACACAAAAAAGTAGAGAAAAAAAGTGCCAAATCTGACACATTCCACGCAAAACTCCAAAAAGGGACTGGACAAAATTATTGGCACCCTCAATTAATATTTGATAGCACAGCCCTTGGAAAAAATAGCTGAAATAATTGGCTTCCTGTAACCATCAATGAGTTTCTCATTTGTCAGTTTTAACAAACTCCAAGCTGGCTTTTTTATGTTTCTGTGTCAGCAGTGGAGTCCTCCTGGGTCTCCTACCATAGCGTCCCTTTTCATTCAGATAGTGACGTATAGTGCAAGCTGACACAGTTGTACCCTGTGCCTGAAGGTCAGCTTGAATTTGTCTGCAAGTTGATCAAGGGTCTTTATCCACCATTCGAACAATCCTTCATTGCAATCTTTGATCAATTGTTCTCTTTCATCCTCGAGATTAGCTACAGTGCCATGGGCTGTAAACTTCTTGACAATGTTGCGCATAGTGGAAACAGGAACATTAAGATCTCTGAAGATGGACTTGTAACCTTGAGATTCTCCATGCTTTTCCACAGAAACTTGGAATGCAGTTATTTCTTGCAATTTGTAGAAGGTGCCAATACTTTTATCCAGTCCATTTTTTGGAGTTTTGCCCCAAAGGATTTGGCTTTTTTTGTCACTTTTTTGTGTCGTACCAATACGAACAAAATAAATAAACATGAGAATGCCTAAACATTTGTAATTGCAACAATTTTCCCCGCAAGTGGTGCAGTGATTCCGAGTGGTGCATTACCTGACAGAAATGAAGGGGTGCCAATATTTTTGGCCATGACTGCATCTGGGAGACATAAAATGGCACCCTGAAAAAAATAAGCTTTATATGTCCTAAATTATCCTAGTTCTCAGAAAATAAGGGTGCATACAAAAGCGAGTGGTAGTCAAATTCTTCTGCACTTGTTCTGCAGCTGCTTCTTCTATACAAATGAGTGTCAGCAATATACTCCAGCATTTATAGCCTCACAGGTAACTCATTCACATTAATGAGTAAACTGTGTGGCTATAAATGCAGAGGTATGTTCCTGATACTCATTTGAAGTAAAAAAAACTGTCTTGGAAACATCTTCAACATTACAGAACATGTTTAGCTGACAGCAACCATGACCTGGATAAATGCGAACCCTCACACAGGGTGCACCAATATGAGCAGAGAAGATCAAGACCTTTCCTAAATATTATAGCATTTTCTAGGCTACAATTTGAGGTATGCAATAAAAAGGCCCACTGAGGAAACATGTCCTTTGCCCTGTCTCCTATCCCTGTTATCCCTGTTATTCTGAAACCTCTAAGTAATGCTTTATTGAAGATTAAATATGCACTTTATTGATAAATAGCTTGTTTGAAAATAATACAAGTGATTATATTATTCAAGCAGTAATAGTTTCATATAACCCTGTATACTTATGCGTGTGTCAGGTATTTTTGTTTTCTATCATCTCTTATTCGAGTTTAAATGTTATCAATGACAGATGAAGCAGCACATTTAAATTACGTATTGTCAGAATATAGAATATTACATATATAAAGTATTTCACTCATCTGAATTGTGCTCATGTTATAATTCTAGCTGGAGGTAGAGTTATCCTGTGAGGGTTTGAACATAAAACCTGGCAGTGGTTAGAATGGTTTGTCATCTAAAATATATAGCAGAGCTTGTTATAGTGAAACTAGTAGCAAGTTTAGGATGATCTGGGATTTAAAACTTCATCTGTACCATTTTTTGAAGTTTGGGAGAAATAAATAACTAATAAAGGTAATGTGTAGATGAGGGGTCAAATAAAATATATCTTTCCAAAATCTAAATAGTACAGTAGTTTTAGCATTTATCGTTACTTACTGCTGCACAATCACTTCCTTTCTTTTGCTTTAACGCTTCACATATGAGCTGTCTTGTTCTTATATACTGTATCTGTCACTGCTACAGACCTCTGTAGAACTTTTAAAAATTCAACTGACAATATGCAAGTGTAATGGCAGCTGATGAAGAACTCTGCTGGATGTGCTTTTTATTAGTAACTTCAGTCTAAATCTATTTTTTAAAAAGACTATTATTTGTCATTAAAATGATATTGGCTACATAGAGGCATTACTTTTTTAATGCAATGGGATGCTACAAGTTTCCTTTCTGAAGTAGTAAAGTATTTGTGATTTCAATAGTAGGGGAAATGTGGTAGTATCACTTAGATTAGTTTGGGTAATTATAGACATTTCTAAACAGTATACAACTGCAAACATTTAGCCATACGAAAGGCATTAGACAACAATGATACTATAATGCTGGTCTGGAAGTCCACTACAAATGTGGAAAACTGTCCCTGAATTTCATATGTAAACCCTCATGAACACTTGCTTTCTTGGGATCCCAGGAAACTGGCTTAAAAACACCTGTGGCTTTGTATAAATTATTAGAAGAAGTAAATGAGGTTAGCACTGTGCTTTCTCCAATTCATAAAAGGTTTGGCAACAGTATTTTGGCTGTACATTTATAATCCATGACTCCAAATTCAACACCAACGATTTGGGACCACTTTCTTCCAAACTTTATATTATCCTAGTAACTTTAGGGAGTTAAGCTATGGGAAAGTTATATTTAATTTGGAGTAAAGTTTTGTTATGCTAAATGGAACAGAAAGCAAGCTATGTAAAGAGTGGGTGTAATGACACAATCACTAAAACCTAGGGACAAGGCTTACATCACTTCTCAGCTGTAATGTCCCTCTTCCCCGGAAAACAGCTGTGCACATTACACCTCACTTTGGAAGGAAATTCAAGAACACCTGCAATTGAAGAGGCTCTAAATGCCAACTCCTGATATTGTTATTAGGATCAACAAACAACAATAACAAATAAACAGGTGTTCTTTATTTGCATATTGCCATTTGATGATGATTGCTTGAACCTAACAAAATTCATGGGTTTAGGGAACAAACAAGATATTCCCAAACTGAGTAACCAGCGACAGTGGATTTTGTATGTAGACAATAGGCTATGGGTCACAAATATGCAGCTTGAGGATAGATTACTAAAAAAAAATGCAAATTATTGTTAACTACAGAACAGACAGGTCTATGTTTACCATAATATGTTGCCTGTGGGCCACTGCTTAGGACAGAAGGGAAAGGGTAGAGTAATACTAAGCCTCCAAATCTACAAACTTCTATAAAGTTTCCCCAGTTTTGTGTAAACTGGCACTTGTGGCTACTTTCAGCAAGAAAACTGTAGGGTGAGTAGCTTCCAAGGAATGTTTTAGCGAGAAGATTCACAGTAGTTCAGGAAACATTAAGCCATCTCCCCTTTCTCTTATTTGGTGCCCTGTACATTGATAGGTATTTCTGCATATAAGGTAGAGAGCATGCTGCCTCCAATAGCAAATTCTATCATTATTCTCTACTAAAAGAATCAATGGACTCAAGGGGTGGAGCTTGTAGAAAGAAGCTTGTAGAAACGGGTGTCATCATTCAGTTCTGTCTAGAGCATCATAGTGTTAAGTAGGGATGAAATTCAGGAATTGTGCATGTTCGGCATTTGACTACCAGGCAAACAAAATAGGCAGAGTGGTTGCTCGTTGTACATGCGACTGCAGCAGCAGGAAGTGAAACCTATAGTAGTGGTATTACTACAACTGTTATATGTGACAGCTTTCAGCTCTGGTTGTGTGGTGACCAAAGGGTTCTGGTATGGATTCTGGGGGGGACTCTTTTGTCATTTGTTTTTTGGGTGCCGGTCCCCCTTACAATCCATGTCAGTTATGCTGTAGTTCATTCTATACATTATACAGATGCATTATTTCCGGCACAAGTTTAGGGCATCCCCCAAGTATGTTATTTGAAGGAATTTTTCATTTTAATTTTTTAATGTTTCACTTCACTTTAATGTTTTCATTACAGGCATTATTAAAAGAGATGCTCCTCCTAAATTTTTTATTGAATTGGTACATGGCCCCCAGGGCAATGCCCAGCTCCATAATCCTTTGTTTGACAACCCCTTGACAAATTACCTTTACAATGGCCAAAAATGATTTTAAAGATTCAGTTCCTATTGACTTTAATGGGGGTTTAATGGGGGTTTATATTAATGTTCAGAACTTTGGTGCAGATTGGTGAACCTCTTGCAAACCAAACCCAATTTGGCTTCCCACTAATGTTAAAATATGGCCTTGAAGACAGATTGAAAAAAACTGTCTGTTCTTAAACTATTAGCTTACCTTTCTGGGAATGCCATTTTTCCACTGACTTTACATGTGAACAATGTATATACTGTATGTTCTAGTGAACTGAAACGTTTCCTTCAGAAATGTTGGCAATGTTCAATGCTTAACTGCTTTTGTTATTGCTCTTAAGTATGTCATCCAGCTATTGCAAGTTATGCCCCAATTACTTGATGTTACTCTGTGATTCTGAAGATACATATACTGTACATAGTTAAAAGGTGAATTAAGTTTTCTTTAGTTAATGAGGTCAATATGTCTTGTAAGAGCTGTGAAATTAGAGCTGTTGGTACTGTCACTGGCCATTCAGTGGCAGCAAAATTACAACAGGTTGTTTGTTTTGCAAAACTAATGATGAATTTCTCTGCATTTTAAAGATATATTTTAAATTAATTTTGTTAAACTAAAATCTTTACCTACCTGCTTTGTTTTGAAATCTATAGTTAAGAAACTACCTAGTTGGGTAATTTTGTTTGAGCTATTATAGACAATGAAAGCTGTTAGAATTTCCCTTGGGAATTTATAGTTAATTTTTCTAAATGCATTTAGATAGACATGTGTATGTGAAAAGCATAATGTGTGTATTTTTGTCAAAGGACAAAGTCACATTGAAAGTCACTATCGTGTAAATAATGTAAGAAGTCTGCACCCCCGCAAATAAATAATAGTTTCCCAATAAGCCTAGCTTCCTAATTATTACTATTAATTAAGCCTTCGATGTTCTCTTCCTGACAGGTTGAGCCTTACAATAAAGGACTATCCAGCTGTTCTAGGTCAAGAAGCACCCACATTCCAGACTCATTATGAAAAGTTTAATCTTCTTAGCAGCAACAAACATGAAGCCATTACTTGGTTTGGCATGAAGATGAAATAAATCAGAATTTACAGTTGTTCCTAACAGATGGCGGTATAGAAATAGCACTGTAAAAATAAGTAAACACCAGCATATGTGATTTATGATAAACATATAACTTATGCAAAAAGCTGGTATATATGCATACTATGGCTTAGGATATGTTTATGTAAGTTGTAGATTTTTACAAATTCTGGGTGTGATTCTCAATACACAGATTAGTGATCAGCCCATGATCTGATCTAGTGGTCCACCTTTATATTGGGTAGGGGGGCTTCTCTTTACATATGTGTAATATTGTATATTTAGTATTTTTAGTTTATATTAATATCTGCATTAACACTGACAATTGTATTGAAAATATTCTTTTATTTAGTTGATTTTATGTTTTTTTTATTGCACTTGCATTGTGGTGAACAGAGGTCCAAAAGATCCCTTTACTTATCCTATGGGTCAAATAGTTATCAACTTGCAGATAATTTATCAAAACAGGTAAGTAACATAATTCGACATTTCAACAAAAGCTTTTGTTGGATGCCAGTGTAGAATAACTATGTGCCGATCAGCAATGGGCTGTTTTTTTAAGAGTGTCCATTTTTGGGGACCTGCTTCATGAACCATCTATGCCATAATAATGAGCTTACAAGCTGCTAATAATATAGCAACGGTCCTACAAATTAACAACCCTCTGGCTAAGGGAAAATTCATAGCAGATGGTGGAATAACATTTACATTTTCGTTCCTCTAGCCATTTAGGGTTACTCAACAGTGAAAAATCAACAATTTTGGCACCTTCAATTTGAATGTGTGCAGTAAGCTGGATAAAGGAGTGAGCTCTTGACACTGCTCTGTGCCTAAACACTGCATATAATTATTCAATATTAAACCAGACACTGTCAGGCTTGGCAGTAACATGAAACTTCATCTAATTAATGGACTGCTGTATGTCCAAATGTTCTTATAGGGCTAAAAGATTGTCTTTAAATTCTTCTAACTATACAATTTTAATTAGAAATATAAAATACAGTTAAAATATAGAAATAGGTATAAACTGATTATACCAGTAACTATTTGCATAGTAAGCAATCAGTATGTATGTAAACCCAGGCCACTGGGTTTACTGGTAATAAACAAAGGTAGATTACACTGGGGAACATTTTTTTTTTCTGTTGCATGAGATTTTTCAGCTGATTCTAAGAATTTTTTTCAATTCTGATTTAAAATCTGAAATTAGTTCTCCTCTACATGCTCTAGTTTTCATGAAATTTGAAACGTGTGGTTTTCGCAAAAAAAGGACACCCATCGCTATTTACACTAGGGATAGCTTGAGAAGATAACTATGAAGTTTTCGTTATTAGCATGCTGTTGGCTTTTTGCGATCTTGGGTGCAACATGAGTGTCAAGCTCCATTTCCTGAATACTCACTTTGATCAATTACTCGAGAACTTTGGGGCTTAATGATGAATAGGGAGAGCGCTTCCATCAAGACCTCATCTTTATGTTGAAATATTTGTTAATTTAAAGTAAAAAAACCATTTGTGCATGCTTATATTTGACTATAATGGATAAATGTTTAAGATTTGACAAGTGGTGATACATATTTTACTCCAGACAAGTGATTTTTTTTGCCTATTTTTAAAATTGCATGCATAATGTGATGAATTTACACATTTTTGTGAATAAATAAAGAATGTCTTTGCCAAGACAGTTGTTTAAGATAAACCATGTCCTGATGCGGGAGGTGTCAAAATTTCATTACAAATGTAAATGTTGAATTGCAAAAAATCTAGAGCTTACACAGAAAAACTAACTACAGATTCAGCACACTCAAATTAGTTATGAACAAGTGCTGGCATCAATGCAACAAAAACTTTGTTCCCCGGTGTTATTTATTCATGGTTGAGTATATGTGGTGGCGTCACAAGGGGGGTGCGGGGGGTCCAGCCCGCACCCGGGTGACACCATTGGGGGGGTGACACCAAAATGACTGACAGTCATTTTGGTGTCACCCCCCTCTGAAAAGTCGGGCGCTCGGTCATGAACCGAACGCCCAACAGTATCAGGAGAGAGAGGAGGGGACCCGGTGTCATATAGTATCCCACCGGGTGACTGTCCCCTCCTCTCTCTGCCGGCATCCATCACCAAGTTCTTGGTCAGACATCTGTCCACCTATTAGCAGCCTAAAGATACATTTTTAGGCCTTGAAAAGCCATTCTATTTTATACACTACATGTCATGAACACAGGATGCATGGTGTAAACATTTTGTTATTACCACAAAATAAGGCTGAATGATTAATGGGGGTTGATTAATGAAAGCAACATGGAATCAGATAACAGTTTTTCTAACTTCAGTAGGTGTTTTAACTAGTAGAATAGGTTAATATACAGTACAAGATTAGAGTCAGTAAATATATCTCACTCTCTTCATTCTGTAATTTGTTGTTCTTTAAAAAAAAATACTTTTTGCGAAATAGAATAATGTTTTTAAGATAATAATTTTAATCCACTTACTGGAGGTCCAATAGGTCCTCTTGGGCCAACTTCACCTTGTGGTCCTTGATCACCCTGTTTTTCACAAAGCAGAAAAAACATCCCAAATTCAATGCAATATTTGTTTTTATGGCAATTGCACAGGAGACACTTCAGATTATAATATTTTTACAAGCATCCTTTCCTATTAATACATTCAGAAACAAAAAATAAAAAAATAGCTGTATAACTGTCTTTTGTGGCAACTGTCTGCCAGGGGATTTCCTCTGACACTGGTGTGATTTCATCTCACTATTTGTTGTTCCTCTGGACCAGGAAGTAAAGGGAAGTCTCCCCAACATGATATACAGCCGATGGCAAATAAATAAAACTGTAACAGGGAATTTAACCATTTTCATATTTAAACAAAACAAAAAGTTGATCTTATATTTGGAAAGATTAAACAACAAAATCATTACAGGAAAAAATAAATGAAATCTTACAGGTTTACCAGAGTTTCCCATTAGGCCAGATACACCTGGGGTGCCAGCATTACCCTAAAGAAATAAAGAAAATAAAAAAGCAATAGTTTAGCTATCAAAAACTCAAAGTTTTACATTTCTACTTAGAACATGTGACATTCTTGAAGTGTTTTTCTTGTTGAAGTTAACGTATTGTGGGCATGTTGGAGTCAAGAGATAATTTTATGTAGGAAATACTAATGAGCAGTGATAAGCAGCCCCTTAAGACCCACTTTGCTGGCAATGCATCAACTCCTGCCCTGCAATACATTTTGTATTATTTGATAGTCCATCTACAAGAACTGAACTGGTAAAGGGATCCTTAGAAGACCGCCTATCTTTTTGTTCTAACAGCTGCAAAGGGGAGAACAAAATATAAAGTGCAGTCACATATTTTTGCCTGCACATACCTGAAGTCTCCAAGACCTTTCTGCCATAGCCAAATCCCAGGCCTCACTCCTTTCTACCTCCTGAATATTCCTATTGGCAAGTGAGGATACTAATAAAAGTGACTGGCTGAAAGCTTAGAGTTTGGTAGGTTACTGCAGGTATGCCTGCACTTCATACCTGCAGATGTCCCCACCCCCCTTTTCCCCAGTGAACTTTGGTGCATTGCATGTCCATTAATTATTATGTCGCAGTACATATAGTTTATTTGGTGAATAGTAGAATGCGTAACTGTCTTGACTTTGTTTGGCCATTTTTTATTTGGCGCAGATTGTGAGGTTTTTTTTTGTGTGGAAAGTTACACTTGGGTTTTTGTAAAAGTTGGTGCACTAGCCGCATCTTTCTTTTCATACCCTTCACATCCAACTATTATTTGGCACATCCACAAAAGCAGGATTCTGTGCTGTAATATGGCGCACTGACAATGGTTTATTTGGCCCAGTATCTTTAAAGGAGAATTATGGGGAGAGTGAAATACACTCTTCCCCATAATTAGAGCCGATGTGTGACACTAAAGTTGTCACATGTCAGCTCTATTGATCGTGAATTCAGGGAACACATGCTGCTGATCGCTGAATTCCAAATCTTCTCCCTCCAGAGGGTGGTGAGAGGCAGAGCCAGCTGTCAATCAGCTGTCAATTAGCCAGCGCGATGAATCCCGACAATATTGTTGGGATCTGTCCCAGCTGCAGCACGGCTCTGCACTCTCAGCATATAGCGGGCAATAGCATGCTATATACTGAGTTTTGGGTCACAGGAGGACATAGTATATGTCCTCCTGTGATCCTATAGAGAACTATGGCCATAAAAGGTTGGCCCATAGTTCTCTTTTAAATAATTCCACCCTAAAGTGCATTACATTCTCACTTGTCTCTATTTTTTTTATTGTATCCAATATTTCTGTATTTTGTGTTGGTGCAGAGCTTCTCATATCCAATTTATGGCATCTGAAGGAGTCAGATGGTAGAATCAAGGTTCATATATGCCCATACCTTCTCTGTTACCTCATCTTTTACATTAGTCTGATAGCACGAATAATTACAGGGAAATAAGACAATAAGCAGGAAATTAGATTTGGGGGAGTACCATATATAAACTATGAATATAACACCCCCGGTGTTCCCGTGGTTGAAATAAGACCACATTTAAATTTTCTGGTAGGAGGTCAAACCTGGCTGACAGCTGAAGTGAAAAGATCATTTTTAATAAACGTTAACAGAACACCGGCTTGTGCAGCACTTAGGCATTTTATATAATTATTTAATGAGCAGCTTTGTTAGCATTGTTACCTTCTCTCCAGCACCTCCCTTTGCTCCAGGATTGCCTGGCAAACCCTAAAAATACATAAAAAAGTAGTTCAGATTTATACACATGTTTGACAGAAATAACCTAATTTACCAGCCTATGTTGATTATCACTTCCATGCATTTTAGGAAAAGATTGCAAATTTAAAAAAAATCAACAGTTCCGCTTTTATGAAAAGAAAATGGAGTATGAATTATAATGATATCTGCCACACATTACAAAAGCTGTTCAAGTGTAAAGGACCAAAATATGGCATGCATAGAGCTGCACACCGAGGTTTGTAACATATTGTTAATGCCATCCTTCTAATTATTAGATATTATTGAGGATGAACTTGTGCTGTTAACATCAAAGGGTCCCTTTACAAAAGAACTAACTGTACAACTGAAAGACGTGGGTCATATGTAATCAATAGGGTAGGGATCATGGCTTTACAGGATCCGCACTGCATACAGCCTAATGGTGTACAACTGATTGTAACAAACTGTGCATATTGTATATGTATATTCATCCCTTGCTAAATGTTTTCTAGCTATTATTACTGTTTTGAGCTAACTCCACATTCTTTCTTATATTACAAATAATTGTTAAAGTGGATGTATCATATATATGTTTTCATGTTAAGTGAATATATACCAAGTAACGTGTGGCTGTAACACTTGTGGCTATTTATTACCTCACAAAGAGTTCTTTCCCTGGCAATGATTTACTCTGTGCACTTCTAGGTTGTGTTAATGTCTGACACAGATCAGCTCCCTGTTGTAACCCCTCACCTTGTGACTTGCTACATAGTTACAATGTTACAACCTGAGTAATCACTAGGGGAGAGTAGACTGACTGAGGAAATGCTTCCTCCAGCCTAGAGCAGACTGATGACATAATCTCAGCATCTCAGCCTAGGCAAAGTCACTTGACTGAAGTTCACAAAGAAAAAGTATACTGTTGGTGTACAGTGTGAAATGTCAGCAATGTATTCTTGTAGTTTATAGAGTTTAATGAAAGCTCCACTGTAATAATGCTATTCTAATATTAGTATTATTATTCAGGATTTATATGGCGCCAACAGTTTGTGCAGCGCTTTATTGTAATTAGTGCAGGTAGCTCTTTACTTTATGCATTAGCTATACATATATACTGTATATATACATTAAATCTGTTATCTCACACTGTTACGACTTTGAACAATAGTCCTGACATATCTTTGATTATATTTTAAAATGACTAGTCTATGCCTAATCTTTTTAAACAGCAATACTGTTTTCAATGCAATGGCTGTATGAAAAAAATGACTGGTGATCAAGCCTCTGTGAATTCCATTTTGCACGAAAGCTTAAAACCTTCATATTCTGGAACTGTCTAAATGATAGGTATAATTATAACTGCTGTTATACCTGTATAGGTGTACATTTTAATAGCAGCTTATTTATATAATGAACCTTGTTGTTAAAAAATAACAGCAAATGAGAAGCCTTTTTAATTGCTGTCTGTGTCACTGGGGACTTTAATGTGAAGCATAACTGGAAAGAATGGAATAGATTTGTATGGCGGGCTGGCAGGCAGGTTATGGCGGCTTAGATGGATGAGGCTAGTAGCGGTGTTTTGTATAGACTCAAGAGGGAACATATGGTTTATTAGGATGCCAAATTGGAACATTTTGCAGCAGTTGAAGTGAGACATGATGAGTGGCATTAATTAGACACTTACAACAGGCTCCGAACATGTTTTGCAAGAAAAGATGGCAGAGTACAGTGATGAATGAAAGACTAATGAATAATTTTAAATATCATAGATACACTTTCTTAATACAAACCCAGCATTGAATGATCATGCCATGCTCTGAGCTGCTTACCGGGTCTTTTTAATTTTAATAGCTCTATATTACTAATCGATTATGTATTACAATGACAGAGGTACCAATGCCATAAAAGAATAAACTAAAAAAATATTTTATAATAATAATGAATTAAATAAAATAATTGACATGAACACAAAATACGACAAAATAGTGTTTTTTTAACAATTCTTTAAAAAAGTCAATTATTAGTGTATTTTTCGCTCCATAAGACGCACTTTTTTCCCCCCAAAAGGGGGGCAAAAATTTCTGTTCGTCTTATGGAGCGAATCCCTATCGCCCGACGTCCGGGAAATGCAGTTTCGGGTGCCGGGCAAGTAGTTCTTTGACCAAGGATGGTTTTGGGAGCCGATGGGCCCTATCCACGATATATTCAAGGGTGGTAGCAAGGACTTGAGCAGATTTTGTACATAGGCCCGTAGTTCTGGAGGGGGTATGTTCTCCAGGGACTCCACGTAATTTAACATTGTTGCGTCTCGACCTGTCTTCAAGGTCCGCTAATTTCACAGAGAGCGCTCTCATGGCAGATTCGTTATCTTTGTGGGCATCCACAAGATCATTATGGGCCTCAGCATATTCCCCCATCTTATCCTCAATATGGCTGACTCTGTCTCCCAGTGCATTAACATCCCCCTTCAACTGGTGAAGAGCTGAAAGCATATCCCTATGAAGGGAGCTCCTAAGAGAGACAAGCATGTCTTTCATAGTAGTGTCAAGCAGGGGGAGATGAGCAGTCCTCAATGGCCGTATTCCGCTCCCTAACCACAGTGAATTCAGGGTTAGCCCCCTCATCCACCTCCTCAGGCCATACCTGTGAGCCTTCTGAGTCCCGTCTGGGCTTGGATTTGGCCGGGCTAGCGGCCGGAGAGGGTCCCGAATGCCTGCCAAGAGGAACAGCTTAAGTAAACCTGCGGGGGAGGACGAGGCGCGTGACGAGCCGGTGCCATCTTGGTTCTGCGGCGATCCCGCCAAGCGGAAGAAATCAGTAAGCTTGCGGGGCCCCCTCTTGGATTTTCTTTCCCCCGCCATGCTTGTGGGTCACTGGGATCAGGGTCAGCCAGGGGTAGCAGAGTGGAAGTCCTCTGTGCTTAGGATCCAGCCCTGGGGATACGATGATGCCGGAGCTCTGCTACTCTGCGGTATCCGCCTCGGCTGCTGGCCACGCCCCCCAGACGCACGCAATGTTATTGCTTGACATGTTTCGTATCTGTTTATCGAACGTGGCCCTGTATTTTATATTTTACCAAAAAATTGGGTATTTGTTTTCTGTGCACTAAATTTAATTTTAGTGTATTTTATCCTAAAAATACTGGTTTGATAAACATTTGCGTAAATACCACAACTAGCATTTTTTTTATACTACAGGGCTTCTGCTTTCAGAAAATATATAATTGTTTGGGGGTTTTAAGTTATTTTTTAGCCAAAAATTTTAATTATCATGTGCACATAGTAAGAAATTGCTCCGGACAGCAAGTGGTAAATGCTGGATATATTCCAGTAACACTCACAGGGATATTCACAAAAAGGTGAAGAGTTTGGAGAAGGCAAACTCTTCACCTCTTTGTGAATAGACCTTTCAGTGTAAATAGGCAAAGTAAAATAGCATTGTAAACAGCATCTCATATACAGTTATTGTAATATAAAGTAAATATCTCCCACATTGTGATATACTAGTAAATGTATTTAAATAATGTATATTGGGAAATACTTACTGGCAATCCTTGTAGTCCAGCTTCTCCAGGGGCACCAGGCTCTCCAGAATCACCCTAAAATATACATTTTAAATATCAGTTAATATAATAACAGTCCACCCAAAACTGATATTATGGCTTTAACAATTGCTTTAACAATTGCTGGATAATTAAACTACCTGACAATACTTTACATCTCCTAGGCACTCAACTAATGAGATCTCTGTGCTAGTGATCATGCATATGTGCTGGGGCTATTATAAGAACATTTGACTCTCCCTGTTGAACTTTTCATTTGCTTTATATTATAGAAAATACAACGAGAGGTTCGGAAACAAATATAGGTGAACAAGGACACCCACACATTTGGGTGGACAGCACCAGAGTCAGGAATTATGGCAGGAACATCTCGCAGCTGAAATACCTAAGATATATTAATAAGCCAGGGGCTGACTCAGTCCATTGCACTGCGCCTACAACTGAAATATCTTTTTTGCATGGACTGACCCTTTAATTAGGGCAAGTATTTTGTTACTGAAATGTGTAAGTATTGTCTTTTCTGTTTCTCTACTGTACAATATAAGAAGTTTTAGACACACATATGAGTCACCAGGCCAAGTACTTTTATATAAGTCAGGCCACTTCAAGGCACTTTAATAAATATTTGTTTCATTTCATAGTGGGTGATACATTAGTCTTTATGCCACATATATTCCTGCTTGCAATGGACCACACAATAGCTGTATTTCACATTTGCTGATAATCATGAATGCTGTCATACAGCTTGTTCTAAAAAAAAAAAATCATATAACACAAGGAAAATAATCAATTATTTGCACAGCGCTGAAAGTACAAAATATTAAATATGTGTAAAAATTAATAATCCCATAAGTGATATTAAAAACAGCAATGATGTTCAAAAATAGGTGATATATTCTCAATATGCTATAAATAAAATAATGATGGTGTTTATGAATTATTACAAATTTTTTACACATATTTATTATTTGGTACTTTCAGCGCTGAGCATATTTATTGATTTGTTTTGTTGTATATCCCTTATTAGCGAGAGAAAGAGATTTTCTATTTATACAGGTATGACACAACTACTCTTCATATACTGTATATGACTACTCTCGTTTCATATAATTATATATTTTAAAGAATATCTGTTTAATTATATAATACATGTAATAATGTCAGCTCTAAAACTGACTGACTAATAAATATAATTTCTTCAAATATATATTTATAGGATCAATTTACTTTTTTGGCATTCAAACTCTGTGTGCCTGTACTAGAGAATGTATAAGTATGTAAACCACATTTGAAGAATTAAGATCTCATTAAAGTGAATAAAAGCAAACATGTACATTTAATCATTGTAATGGCTTTAGGTGTCATATTGGTTATGAGGCTGTAACATCATTGTAACAAAGTGCTTTACACCTCTTTTAAACCATTATCATCAGCACGTAATGCCAGAATAGGTTCTAATGGTATAATAATGGGAAAGATCAATCAAGTTCTATTCATAGACTAGTGACACTTCTAAGCTATCATTAACCTTGTCATTTGTAGAATTCTACATCAAATGTTCCACACTTTATAACACTCGTTTCATTTGAAATAAGCATTATAGAATGGGATATTAAAATAAGTCATGTGTTTCATGACATTAATGCCATGTATTTGATATATGGTCGCAGTAATATCATTGACTATATTGAAGTGCTAAGAGATAAGTGACACTCCAATGAAATCCTTTTGTATTATCGTAACTGTTTTCATTATATTCCTATGATTGCTTTTGTTCCAGTTTTGAGCAATAAACAAACATACCCATTTACTTTGAGCAACAATGATCTATACATAGTTCATCACACAGCAGTAATCTTCCCTTACAGAGACCTTGTCACATGAATGCAAGTGGTTTAGGCTTTGATTCATTAATTGTGACATATCCCCTAGTGCTTGGCTTGCTTTAGGTCTTAATAAGCCAGCTATATATCAAACTATTATGAACAGTGATACCACACTGTGTGTTTATTGTTCTTCAATTCACCTTTCCTCCTGGCATTCCAGGGATTCCATCTCGACCATCAACGCCTGGCAAGCCCTAAAGAAAAAATATGTTTTTAGCAAACTTTGATGAATCTGTGTATTTGTTCTCTTATCATTACTTAACATTGTGAACACAAGTATTAATCGATTTCAATATATGCAATTTTGATGTTCATAATAAATATACTATATATTACAATTAGACTAAAGACATGAATTAACCCTTTCGCTGCCAAGCCCTCCGGAACATTTTTCAAATCAGCTGGCACAGCGAAAGGGTTAAAGCAAAAAACATTTGTTGGCTTTGAGTTCGACCAACAATAGCTAACCCTACTGTAAATATTTCTGAATATATTAGCAAGCCTCCATAATAGCAGGTTTGAATGGCATAACAACACTCCTCTAATTAAATAGTCATCTCATATTGTTGAGTTTTATTGATTTAAGCTGAGTATTAGCAATGTACCATAATGACATAAATGGTTTCTTTGTACTTGACAATTACTTTCTTTTAAAGAGGCAGTCCACTCTAAGCTGATATTTAAATTCTGACAGATGCTGGAGAGTTAAATTACTGAATGAGTTTTTATAATTCTTAAGAACACTATTGTGCAGGTCTTTGGGCTTGAATTCCCAGATCTTTACACCTGCTCCATCAATCAAGAGTGCACCCCGCTCTTGGATTGCTGGACCTATATAAACCTTGCTGTAAATTCATTATTTCTGACTGATCACAATAACCACAGTCTTACCTAAGACTGAATATTTTGAGCGGATAATCATTGCATAGGCTCAGTGACGTGACCAGGCAAGGTATAACTTCACAGGAAACCTTTTTGTAGACTTGTCTCATACCGGGCAAGAGCTTCAGTACCATGGTGACAAAGCACCCCATATGTAGTAACCCAGTACCACATGACAAAGTAATAGAAACATGGATGCTTGGGGCAGCCAACGGGAGGCCACCACCCATATTATAACTCAACTTTGATTCTACATTGATCTGGAGGATAAGAACTGATTATTATTTATCGGTAGAGGAAACCAAAGTGCCAAAATGATGGAATGAGGGAAATGTTCTGGTTCTCACAGCAAATACATGGCACCTTATCTATTAAGTTATTAACCAGCTCATCAGATGACTAGTAAAAATAAAATAATTGCCTCATTCTTACAACTGATTTACATATCCTACTATACTTTACCAATGTAAGTGGTAGGTGAGTGGTAAGAATTCTGTAATTTAATTCAGTTTGTCTTACACAATTTATAGATTAATAAGGCTCTATTTTTTTAGACACAAGTTCCCTTGCAATTGTTGTTTTGGCACGTGAGTCCCACATACTGGATTGATGGATGGCATGCCAACAAATGTGTTATAACATCTGGAAGCTTACACTGACTACTAACCAGCTGGTAAGTCAACATTTACCAAGCTCAACTCAAGTTGTTTTTGTGCTTGAAGGAAAGGCCAACCAAAAACATTTTCAAAGCAAAATTCTAACACCAACATAAGAGAAAGCTTTTGGTTGTGTAGATTTAAACTGTTAATTACAGAGTAGTTTCTTTTGGATCTGAAAGTATCCTAAAACCATGTGCATTGTGTGTTGTCAAAATAATAACAATGCTTAAAATTAAAATCTATTTATGTAATGAAGTTCACATACTGCTTCCCCTTTAGATCCTGGCATTCCAGAAATTCCTCTTGGTCCAAGAATTCCCTGACAAAAAAAAAGCAGAAAAAGTTATTAAAATGTTGGGCATTGCTTAGAATTTGTAATACCTGTTGGACATTTCTAAATCATGAATATGTATTCAGCAATATTTATTCAAGAGCAATGCAGCAAATGCAATTGTACTTACTCGTTCACCTTTTGGCCCAGCTTCTCCTATTGAACCTCGCTGGCCTTGGTCACCCTGAAAAAAAAAAAATTTTAAGCCTAGAAACTCAACACTTTCAACATTATTGTATTATTGCCCTTGCATTGAACCTTATTCTACCATTGCCCTTGCACTGACCAGGTATGTGGCAGACTAGATCTGTTTCACCTGTTTGTAATCAGTCTATGTGTGTAATAAAATTAATTTCTCCTGACTACCCATTAAGATATCAAATAGGCAAAATGTAATCAATGAATGTGTCGGTGCAGCTGCTCCTATTGTATTCCATGATCTGGCAGTTGGTACCATTTACAAGCTAATACAGATTAAAGTTGTAAAAGTATAGATGGTGATACTTACAGTTGCACCAGCAACTCCCTGGGGACCAGGTACTCCATCAGTTCCACGATTACCCTTATAAGTAAAAATGATAACACTATAAGTAAATATAAAGGTAGCACAAATCATTTAATTGTGTATTTGTCTTCTGACAGACTTTTAGGGTTGCTTGTCATTGTGTGAATTTTTAAACTGACACCTAGGGGTTGATTTACTAACCTTATAAACACACCACAAACATGTATACACCTCTGTAGTGTGTTCCCTCCCAGCATGATCTATGGGTGGAATCTAAACACCTTTGTAGTGTGTACACACCCAGCAGGTGTGTTGTGCAAAGCCCTGCCCTGAATTGCAAGGTGATGTTGTGTAAATTAGCTCTACATTGTGTTGCTTGCGTTGATGAATGCAAGGAATGTAAATGCATGAGCTAACCATTTTTGTCTAAACTGTGAAGCAGCATTATAAATGCATCATGTGCATGATTTTTCCATATATGGCATTAGTGGAAATATGCTTATAGAGACTTTTTGGTTGATAAATACGCTTTGCTGTGTAAAAATCACACGCACCTGGTGCGTGCGTGTGTTTAGGTTAGTAAAGCACAAGTTAGTATAGCACAAAGTTAGTATAGCACGAACATGACAAAAATTTCAACAAAAATGCACCAAATGAGATCCCCTTTGAGGAAATGACACATGATCCGTACCATCACATGGAGCTGGAAACAGTATATTTTCAGAATCACAGGCTCTAAATTATTCTATAAGATTAGAACTAGGTCTCTGCAAGACTTTACCCTGTACAAAGCTGCCCTGATAAAATATAACTCCTCCCTCCGTGCTGCCAAACAAACTTATTTTGTCACTCTCATTAACACACTCTCATCCAGACCTCGTCAACTCTTTTCTACCTTCAAGTCTCTACTATGTCCTCCACCACCACCACCCACTAACTCACTCACTGCCCAGGACATTGCCATTCATTTCAAAAACAAAATAGATACCATTCGAGATCAGATCGCCACTGTCCAATCAACTGCTCCTTTTATTATAGTACCTGATCCTCCATCACACTCGTTACTTTCCTCTTTTGACCCTGTCACCACAGAGGAGGTTACTAAGCTTCTCTCTGACACAAACTCTTATAACTATGAAAATCAGAAACTAAGCACTTAAATTGTTGGTTGGACATCTAGAAAAGGAAACACAGTTGCCTTAGACTCTTCTTTTCAGCCTTCCATAATTGTTTTCAGTTAATTATGTAGTTCTTAACTGTGTGACATTTCTGAGCTGAAAATTTATTTACACTGACAATTTGAAGCTGACTTACTAAAGGATTTGAGAATGTTCACACAATAAAGAGTGAAGAAAATAAATCTGTTTACTTATTTCATCTGCACAAGACTGGGTTACTGAATTGAATATTCACACAATGTATTGTCTGAACATTCTCAGATCCTTTAGCTTTGTGTCAGCAAAAAACTGCTACCTACAGCATATAATGAGCTTGACTGCAAGAATAATCATACAGAAACAGGTCTAGTTTGAGCTTGTAATGTTCCTTTGAGGAGCGAATTGTATAGCACTTCCACAGCTGGGAAGTGCTTCTAACTATTGTAAAACTCATATTATTGCACACAGAGATCTTAAAACATGTTGCAATAACTGTATAGGTCTGCACCACTAACACCCATTGAGTGAGTCAGGAGGGAGCTTGCTGTTGACACACATTACAACAGTTTAAAGATGGACCCATATCTTACGGTCTGTTATTTTTAGTGAAACACCTCCCTGTCTGTTGCCAGCACATAGCCAACTTAACATAGACAAACATTTATTTTCTAATAAAATATTAGTGGTCTAAGGTTCTTTAGATGGTCTAAGTGATCTATAATCTTAGGTTTATAACAATCACTAAGCACATGTGACTTTTTACTGCATTCTGTGTGAATGCATTAAAAAGTCACATGTTATTGCAAAGCAGTTTTTATCAACTATGGGTTCCTTAATCAGTGACAGGATTTTTTAGGCATGCTTGAAAATAACCGCAATCAAAAAATACCTTCTTCACTAGTAATCTTCAAATTAATTACATCACTATCTGGAATGAAGGGCACCGTAAAGGAGAAGTGTAAAGATGTAGAAGGGATATATATCTAATTTATCTGCCCTCTAAAGGGCCAAATTTGCGATGCCTGTTGAAGTAAACAGGAAGCACCAGATTTTACAAAATCTTTATTAGAAGTAGACAAACCACACACACACACTTAACTTGTAAAAATAAATATTTTAAATAATCCTAGGGGCTCTTGTCTTAATCTGTTCTGCATTGGGTGTTCTTTCTCTGTCAAAAACCTTGGACAAGTCTCTACAGATTACTGAATAAAAATATATATTTCTTTGTTTGCTGATGTTTATTGTGCATCATGCATAGGGCAGTCCATTCATTTCAATAGGCCGCCACACGCATGACAAACATGGTAAAGAATCTCACGGACCATTTTCAGCTTCAAACTTTGCACCTTTTTAACTGTGCATTTTGTGGTGTTTTGCACCCAAATGCGCTAAGCAAGACATGCAATGAACGCACATCTTGCTAGGTGGGTGGCAATAACAATGAATTGGTTTTCATGAAGGTGCACAAAAAAGGGTATTCATGCACTACAATGGTGTGGGGGCTCAGACGTATTTGTATAAAATCAGATTTGTCTAGAAAATATTTTCCGAGCTTACCTTACTACCTTGTGGCCCCAATACACCAGTGATTCCTCTTAATCCTTGTGGTCCCTATAACAAAAGAGACATAAAAAGTTGTAAACATCTTTTAAACATAATTATACATGTGCAGACAATATTAAATATTTTCAGTGATAAGTGAAAACTATAAAATTGCACATCATTGTATATGATTGTATAATGCAGGAAAACCAGATTTTTGTGTTTACCGTAAAATCTATCTCTTGGAGTTTGTCAAGTGACACAGGATTCAGATTTTCTGATTTTATTGAGTTATACTGCTGCCTACCAGCTGTTGGCCATGACTCCTCCAACTCCCACCAGGTTTCATTTTTATGGGAAAACAGTATTTAGGAGCTGATCACAACACAGAATGGTGGGACTTGTTTCCCTTAATGAACTCTGAGAAACAGATATAATGGTAAGTACAAAAATCTTGGTTTCTTTATTGTTCATTGAGGGACACAGGATTCAGTTATTCTGATACAATTAGGACAACCAAAAGCAATCAAATGGGTGGACAAAACAGCAAAACTCTTAAAGGCCCACATAACAAAAATTATAAAACGGGAGGCTGTCTGCAATTCAGAGGGCTGCTGGTAGGACCTTGACCTTGAACATCCATCTGATAAAACCTAGATAATGTATGAGCAGAGGACCAGATGGCAGCCTTGAAAATATGGGAAACAGTATCCTGATGCCTAAATGCCCTTGTCAGGAAAATGTGTAATCAAATCTCTAAGCTATAAGCCTGAACAATAATTTGTCTTTGAAGAGCCAACAGAACCAGTTTTAAATCCTATGGAGTCACAAGTAGCTCTAAAGGAGGGGGCCACATAGGAGACATGCTGGAAAACAGTTTTAAATAACAAATAAGAAGCAAGTGGTATTTGGAATAAGATTGCAAGGTCCGAGATGTGTGTCTTTGATGGTACTTAAGGCCGAGTAATAATCCAGACCTGATTGTATAGAGGTTAGGACTCTTTCCGAGGGTGAACATTTTCTTTCCTCACACCAAGTGAAGCAAGCCTTCCATGTGTGATGTTAAACCTGCAATTACTGAATCAGAGAGACCCCTGCCATAAAGCCAGCAACCATGAAGAAGGGTGGTAAACTAATCCTTGACACAGGAGATCTGGTCAATGTGGAATGACAGAAGTTTGATCAGGTCAGAGTACCATATCCACCTGGGAGAGTTAGAAGCTACGAGGACCACCGGAGTGCCCTCTATCTCGATCCTGCACAGTAGATAAAAAAGTCATTTCAGAGGAGGAAAGCCTTAGATTAGACTATACTGGTCCCACAAGAGTCACCAGATCAACTGCTGCTTCTGCCCAAAGTATCTTTGCACCTGGAAACAAAACTGTCCAGTTTGTTATTGAATTTGAAGGCTAAGGTTCACATTTGTGGTTTCCCACCTGTGACACAGGACATAAAACATTTGCGTGTGTATGGACCATTTTCTGAGGTCCAGTCACTGCTGGCTGAAATAGTCTGCCTGGTATGGGAAGGATAAATGACCTAACCAAATCTTTTTTAGGTGCAGGCTGTTCGCATCACAATACTGGTCAGTATTGAGTTGACTGTTGCCTCAATAGGAGGTTATTAAGGTATTCCACAGGAGGGATACCCCAGCAGCGTTGTAAGGCTAGCATTGGGGTCATAACCTTGGTGAACACGGAGTATGGATGATAGGCCACAAACTGTAGGGCTACAAACTGATAGTGTTGAGTGTCACAACATAAAGGAGATACCGTTAATGCATTAGAAAGATGAGGACATGCAAGTATGCATCTTTGATGTTCACAGAGGCTATAAAGCCTTTCTGGTGGATTCCATGTCAGACTTGGTCGTGTTCCATTTAGGACTTTTAGACTTGAATGAACACATTTAAAGCCTTCAGATCCAAGATGAAGCAAATGCCTCTTTTTGGTTTTTAAACAGTGAAAAGGTTGAACTTAAAACCCTGAAATCTTTGTGTCATTGCCGCAATGGTAATAACTTATTTGTTCAAAAGGTCTGCAAGAGAAGTATGGAAGTCTTCTAGCCTGTGCGGAGACAGAAACAGGTTTGACAACATGATGTGGGGCAGGAGTAGAGAGCAGAACTCTAACTTGTAGCCTTTGCAAGCCAGATCCCCTACCCAGGCATCCAAGATGATTTCTGACCAGTCTGCAAAGGCCAACAGATGCCAACCCCACTTTGAAACAGGGGGCATCCATTCATGTTGAAGAGGTTTGGACATGTATGTAGTTTTGGAGAATTTAGAGGCCCAAGGATTGTGGTTGTACTGGGTCCCTCCCTTACGTTTGGCTTTGGAGTCAGAAGTGTGGGAAAAAACAAAAGGAACTCTTTTTGGCTTCAGAGCCAGAAGATTTGCCAGTTGGGGTAAATGAATACTCTAACCACCAGTAATGTCCTTTATGAAACTGTCCTGAGAAGCACCAGCAAAAGGCATGCACAGTAAAAAAAATTACATTGCTGTTTCGCAGTCCAACATTTCAGCCACCTCCTTATGTTCACAGACAGAAGGTTTATTTGAGAGGTAAGACAGATAATTTAAACTAAGCCAACAATGCAATAATGTAGGGCTGAAGGCAAAAGCTTTAAGCGCTTAACAACTAAATGATCAGTAAGGGCTCTAGTTAGGTCCTTTGACATAAGCTAAATCCACTCACCCTAAGGTATGACAGATTCACATTACAGCGCTAGTAGTTTGCATATCAGGGCCTGCTAGTGAAAACAAGGCTTTGTAAAGGGCTTCCAAAGTTTTATCAATGGGATCCTTAAACACTGGAGTATCTTCAATAGCTACAGTATGTGTTTTAAGATGGGATATCGCCCGGAATCAACAATGGGAATGGCTCGCTTTTTATGAAGTTCTTCAACAAATAGATGTTGGTCTCAAAAGTATTTGGAAGGAGTAAGTAGTTTGTCAGGAAAATTCCACTTTCTGTACAGTAGAAGTAAAGAGTGTACTAGAAAAAATGTTAATAGTCTTGGGACCTTTTAGGTATCCCAGACTGATAACAGCATTAGTAGAAGTCACAGGCTATTCCATTTTAAATGAGGCTCTTACAGCATCAATAAGAGCTGCTATGGTATTTTTAACCTGGGAATTAATTCAGCTGACTGAAAGTTTTCAGGAAGAAATCCATCCTTTAAGGATTTGTGAGATTCTAAGTCAGATGGTACATTCACAGCAGAAGACTCAGAGGCCACTTCAGCTGCAGAAACCTCTACGTTCCAAGTCAGCAATCATAATTGCAATTTTGTCCATAAAATACAGCATACCTGCAGAGAACTCCTCCTTGGATAAGGCAGAGGAGGGGGTCACACTTGACAGAGCTATGGGAGGAGTGTGTTGACTCAAGCAGGTAACACCGAGCCAGACTATCTGTGTCAAGTCCCCTGGGAAGGACACAGCAGGCCTCCCTGGATCCGTTATTGGATTGTGAGCTGGAGCAATCAGATGCAGTGGGAGTGCTTCTCTTGTGCTTGGGATCTGTCATATTGCACTGCAAGAGAGGTTTAATGGCTAGAGGTGACGAGGTCACTCTAGGCAGCAGCAAGGACAACCTGAGGTGTGAACCGTGTGTCTCTAGCAAATACGAGCAATGGTGGTAGGAAGCTACCTTACACTGAAAGAAAAAGGCAGGAACAGAGTGGGCAGGGCAGGCGTGACATTCAACCATTTCTGCGGGGAAAAAAGACATAACAGGGGAGTATTGGTGGCATTCACCATTACCAATTAGTGCTGTAGCCCCTAGATACTTATTAGTCTATATGGGGTACTCTTTAGAGACTGGGTCACACCTGAAATTGTCCCATGGCTCTAGGCCTGTAAAGTGTTCTGTGGCTAACTAACACAGAACCCAAATGCCTAGAAAGTGCCACAGACAAAGCTCAGTGCCTGAAAGTCACATTCCAGACAAGTCTCACAATCTTCGGTCCAGCAGGGTCTGGGTAGGACCTCCAAGGCATTACTGAGTAAACACCAGTCTGAATAGCTGCATAGAACCGCAAATCGTTGTCCCTTATTACATGATAAAGAAATGTTCTTTTCAATTTTAATGGCAAATAATATTGTTTGAAAGGTAGTATATTACAAGTGTATTTTATAAGGAATGTATATACATAGAACTGCAATTGCTTTACTGTCACAGTAATTCTTTACTCGTGCTTTTTCCTTGCTGTGTAAGAGAATGTCTGCAGGCAAGATGCCCTGTTAACCTGTAAGTCATTTCTGGTCATACGCTTACAAGGTAAAGTTGTAACTGTGGAGACATAGCATTAACAACCTCTCAGTGTTAAACGTGCACTAGATTAAAGGCTTCTATTAATACAAAACTGTTACCTTAAAGGCAAGGTTTCTATAGATGACTGGTTTTGAAAAAGAATAATTTGAGATATATAGAGAGAAAATCATCTTAAAGAGCCAAGAAACCCAGTATATTCTGTTTAGGTTGTACCTACGTTTTGCACATTTCCTCCAATATTTTAAGATTTTACACCAATGTGCATTTGTCTATATTGACCTATGAGTAAACATAGTAAAGTCTATGGTCTACTTTGATATTCCACCATAGTATATTGGAGTGAGACACAGGATGCCACCATAGCACACACATACAAATGCCTTAAACAGATTATTCCCAACAAGATGCCTTGTCTGTATAAAGTAGGCACATTTTTTTTTTTAATCCAGCGGAAGTTCAGGTTTTTGTGATCAAATCTAGTTACAAAAGGAAACTACTGATATACTAGGCTAATAAGGTGACACATTTCCTAATTTATTTAAATTATAAAATTATCTAGATGTTATTCATCACAAGTAAATCAGATGTAAATGTATCCTTTTAGAATAGTTTCCAAAATAAAAGCACTTTACTGGAGGGCCTTGGGATCCAACTTCTCCAATAACTCCTTGTTCTCCTTCTTCTCCCTGTAACAAGAGGAAAAAAATACTTTCTGTAAAACAAGAATACTTGGAAATGTACTAAATATCAGAGTGTTATGGCAAAAGCAGCATTTGAAGTACCTACAACTGGCTTGATAAATCTTCTCATGATAAAACCCACCATGTCAACATTTATAGCTTCTCTTATACAGTTTGGAGAAATTACAGCTTTAGAGATTCTGCACTGCTGCAATACTACACAGAAGTAGAATTTTTTTAAAAATTAATAGAAATGGTCCAAATACAATTGCATCAGTTAAGTTATTTCATTCACTAAAAAAACACGGTGCTAGAACGTATATATCCAAATATTTTTTAATTTTAATACACACATTATGTACTAAAGTCATAGGACATACGGCATATTGCTTTGTCTATGCATTGGACGCTGTTACAGTGTCATGAAAAACTGGAGAACAGGAGATGTGTAAATAGTTGGAAGTGTTGCTTATAACAAACAATCAGGTGTCACTTTTAAAAACAACTCCAGTTCCAAACATAATTTTTTACCTTCAGTTTTCATGAATCAGCCCCATTTCCCCATACCAGAAATGGCACTGATTGAATTATTATATAAAGGTATGTCGTTTTCATTTGCCTGGCATGATACTTTCTCTATACCTAATACATGTAGCAGGAGCAACAGCATTTATTATTAGCAAGATGTAATGAATTCTTAAAATGTAGGCTTGTTGAGTGAGTTTGTATGGCTGTCTGACAGCCTAACTGAATGAGCCTTCAACTACAGTTGACAAAGAGTTAAACCCCAGGATAATCATTTTCACAATCAGATTCCTCCTGCACCTACATTTTATGAAGTATTTGTGTAAAACCCCTGTCTCCAAATGCATTGGATGTAAGCTCTTGAAAGACGTTTTTATTGTGACAAATAGACAGTATAACCATACAGGTTATGGTGTGAAGTAAAAAAAAAATAAAAAGCCCTCCTACTGAAACAGTGTGTAGCACAGTAGAGCCTTGTTACAACAGAAGGTATGCACATGCCTCACTCCACTATATCTCAAAAATAAGCAGATAATTCCTCATTTTAGGACCCACTGTCCTAAAATGAGGAATTATCTGCTTATTTTTGAGAATAATGATGCAAATGATTTCTTTATACCCCATCAGCAAGCTGCACAACCAGAACTGCTGATGTATAGTTCAAGTATAGCTTAAAATTATAGAACCATGTATTCCAAACTGCATATAGCTGTTTTAGATTTTTTTGGCTGTGAATGGAACCCATGGCTTTTATGGAGTAGGGCTTGGGACCCAGGAAGACAGATTACCCATACAGGATATGATGAGAAGCAACTAAAAAAATCAAAAAGCCATCCAACCAAATTCATGTCTTGCTTTTGTGACAAATAAAAAAAAGTTTTATCTAGACCAAGACCTATGGCTTGGTGCTCTCAATGTTTCAATCCACATAATTTTACTTTCCCAAAAATCCTGTTGGATTCCAGACATTAGAGAGCCGATTCATTCAGAACCTCCACCATGCTTAAAGTCCAGTGCTCCTCCATCCTAAATCTTAAAATAATAAAATATTGACACTGGTTCTAACATTTCCCGAATCTGTCCAAAACCACAAATAAAAGTTCTGGATGATGCTTTATTTTAGCGTTCACCTATAAATTGAATTTTACATATACCAGAATAAAGTCTTCTGCAATTTTCTGTTGAGCATTTTAACATTTTTTGATGCAAAGGTAATCTGGGGTTAAAAGTCCCCATGGGGGACAGACATGTTGTAAATTAAGAACCACTTGAAATGAATGGCAAAACATTTTCAATAATCAGCAAGCCCAGCTGTGTTTGATATACTACCACTTGACAAACTCATGCAAATACAAATGGCAGCCATGCAACTTCACCAACTAATTGTATGCCTTTTGTCACTTGAATTTTTTTTAAACTTTCTCAAAGCTTTAAAAAGCTTTCCTTTTTAAAATATATAGTGATTCAAATGATTACCTTATGGCCTTGTTTTCCAGGTTCACCAGCTTCTCCTTTTACACCTTTGTGGCCCTGAAATTATAGACAAAAATAATAATTGTTTTTTTATCATAGCTATGTGATGTTTATGTGACACTGATTATGATTAATAATGCGACTGTTCACTTCCTGGTGTCTAAGAGTGGCAATGCAGATCCACAAGATGGAAACTGAAAAAAGTGACTTTAAGGTTAGAGCTACAATAGAAATGAAATATTTTTGCTACTAATAGACTGGAAGAAAATATTACTGTTCAAGTGACAGAGTCTGTTACCAGCCTAACCCGTGGCCTATTTATACTGGCCTTCCCCAGCCCTCCCCTGCCTGTTTAATTTTTCATAGCAGCCATTGCAAATTTCTAGTATTTCCAAGTGTGAAGGAGCATGTGAACTTGTCCCAGGATGAAGTGCTCAGGCCTGAGTGACCAATTATAATTATTTGAAGAGGAGGACAGTCTCATCAACCCTGTTTAAGCTCTGATATATATATATACATAGTGTACATAGAGCTTACACAGGTTTAGTACTACATAGCAATGGCATGGCAGGGAGCATAGAAAAAGAGAGTATTGTTGGGTTAAGTGGTGGGCTTTGAAAATGTTCTCACACTATATGCTAAATGGGGAATTTGAAAGATTTTCTTTAACCTCTTGGTGGCATGTCATAACATCTGTAGCACATTGAAATTAATGAGATAACTGTTTTCAAGCAGTTACATATCTCAGAAAAAGAGAGATTTCATCACCTATACATCCCTCATCTATACAGGGCAAAGCAACAGTTTTGTATTTATTTCCCCCCTCACCAACATATTCTTACATTTACAATGAAGCAAACAAAGAACATGTGACTCACTCCCCCTCCTTTTACACGACAGCACTGGTTCTTTTGATTGGCCAAGCACTGTCACATGAGCCAGGGGGCAGTCTGCTCCAACTAGGGAGCTTACACTGGGCTTACACAGGTGGCTGAGCAATGTGATGGAGGTGCAAAGGAAGGTGAGAATGTGCTGCTTGGGGAGAGGTCCTTAAAACCATCCCGTTGCCTTGCCCCAAATAAGCAAAACATAGATTTCTTTAAGTAGGAAAAACTGACACTTTTATATCATTCCAGATATAGTACTGCTTTTTCACTTTACCTGAAATAACATTTAGGTTAAAATGATTGTACAAAACTATTCAGCCAAATCAGACAACCCATTTTGTAAAATAAATTAAACCTTACATATCTATACATGACATTTATCCTGCACACTGCAACATGATGACATTACCATGTTTCCTAATTGAATTATGTTATTTTTACATTGATAATGTAATAGCAAAAAAAAAAAGAAGCCCACACAAAGACATAGCAGGTAGGTGAAGACCTCTAATGCCACATAATATAAAGCGTGTTTGAAAAATCAGTAATACCTAGCAACCAATTATTTTCGAACAAGTGATACATTAGTTCTGATTAAGTTTTCTGGATTGCTTCACTCTGTTTCTACCTATTAAATAAGCAAGCCTGTGGATAATACTAAAATGATGTTATTTATCCTTCAATCTATACTTCCTTCTTTTTATCCTCTCTTCCACATCCTTCCATATATTTGCTAACATTGCTTCTACAGTTATGACCCATACCTACAGTCACAGATCTGGACATGATAATTTTTAAGGAAATGTATAGTTTATGGTCACCTATTCACTCAGTGTTGTCTTTGTGAGTTGTTATCATACATCACAAATTCAAACAATTTCAGGCTGAAAGCATGTCCTTACCTTCATTCCAGGCAAACCTGGATAACCTGTACGTCCCGGTGGGCAAGAGTTAGGACACTGAAAATAAAATAATAGACCTAATAAATAACAAATTGAAAGCGATCAGAGCATTGACACAGTTGTTAATGCTTTTCACACAGAACTCACCAGGGGATCTCCCTCTCGCAGTGCAACTGTTCCCTGTTAAAAACAAAAATAGACTATTTCTGCATTCGCTCAGAGACACAACACATCATAAATCAAAAGGAAAATAAATTGTAATTGAAAATGTGAATGACGTAAAATGCTGCTATGTTTGCTATACAACTATGTTGTCGAAGGGCTGAATCTTTTTCAATGTTTTTACCTACTGTAAAATTATATTTCCGGCTGAAAATGATTGTCCTAACAATATGTTAAAACTTTTTAGAATAAATACCAATCCTGAGGTTAGATCATTGGTATCATAACTATGAGTAGGACCACTTTTCCAGAAAGGTCCTCAGTGATGATAAAGAGAAGAGGAGGTAACCTGGTATGCCAGGTTGGGGGCTGGCAAGGGGCTAATAACCACATTCTTCTTCAAAGTGTAATTAACATTTATGGACTGCAGCACCATAAAATAAGCAAATACATCTAACCTGACGCATATTTACATTTAAGATGGATACACTCACTGTCTTCCTAATTTCTGGGAGATTCTAGGGGTAAAATCTCAGCAATCTGAGAGTTCCCAGCTTCACCACATCAGAACTAGCCATTATGAGGTGGTCTACCTGTAAATTCTCCATTTATTGTCAATTATACAGAATGCTGCAGGGGGAGCGAAACCATCTTGATTGACATACTAATAAGGGGGACAAGGGAAAGAACTGTAATTTTTTATAGGGTGACTTTTGTCCCTGTGTGCAACAAAGAAGAAGCTGGTTTGAGATTCATTGCACTAGAATCCATTTACACTGAACTATCAATTTTGGGTAGACTAGCCTTTTTTACGTTTTACAACATGTTCAATAGGGGTAGATCTATAAAGTGCTGAAATAAGCCTTAAAATGGACCTAAACCACAAAGCTAGATCCAAATCCATTGATTTGCCAGTCATTGGGAAGACGGTTAGGATTAGTAATGCATTAAAACTTACCTCTGAGCCATGGCAATCAGATCAAATGGTACTACAATTTAAATTCACTTAGCATGAAACCAACATGTTAGGTCACATAAGTCTACATTCACTTTCACTGAAGAGCTCCTGTGCAGCAATGCTGTGTCTACAGAAAGTGTGACCAGAAACTGAAGAGTCACCTTCTTTTTACAGCTCATGTTTTTACTGCCACTGGCCTACAAACCTGATTCCTTAATTCCTACCTAATGTGTTAAAGCTAAGCTTACGTTACAATTTACAACATATATCTGTTTTACTGCAGTAGCATACACACATACATACATACATAGTATTCAAAAGAACATGTTGTTCTTTGAATACTACAAAAAAAGAACTAAATTACACCCCCATGTGCCTACAGAAGCTAATATTAAAGTGTCCAAATGAATGCAGATGCAAATATGCACTTTTACATGCAATGTGTACTGATTAGTATTGAGCTCGATGTTCGAGTCGACAAAGATTTCAACTCTAACATTGCTAGTTGTGTGCGAACAGCCCGCCGAGCGCCCCACAGAGCACTGTGCACTGTGCAGTGCCTTGTGAAGCCGATTGGCTAAAGCCTTGCGCCTGTACCACAGGTCACAGTCCATGTACCCATTGCACTCCTGACCGCACGTCCAACAAAGTATCCTGGGTGCTCAGTAGTCGACGGATGGCCACCGTCAAAGTAATGCAGAAAAGAAATAGACACCGGCACTCCAATAGTAAATCGATTACGTCTATTTATTGACATGCATCAAAAGCAAAATAAGACACTTAGTGCGACGTTTCGGGGGCACACAGGAACCCCTTCATCAGGCCTACTATTTTGCTTTTGATGCATGTCAATAAATAGACGTAATCGATTTACTATTGGAGTGCCGGTGTCTATTTCTTTTCTGCACCACAGGTCAGGTGCAAGACTTTGCCCAATCATGGCACAGAGAACTCAAAAGCCATGATTGGGCAAAGTCATGATGCCTTTGCCCAATCATGGTTCACCTGTCAGGTGCCGTACAACTGTAAACAGTTGGGTGGAGCTAGCTAGCTGTCACCGCTAGCTCCACCCAATTATTTATATTTTGCCGGCATCTGTCAGAATGTCATTCTATGGCGGGAGTTTGTCGCGAGCGGATGGGTCGGCGGGCGTCAGGTTTTTTTAAAATTTCTATTTATTTTTTCTTGTTTAATTTTTTATTTTGTTGAGTCGTCGTCGTCGTGGACAACGCTGGATGTCCTGATTGACCCTGGATTACGTCAGTGGATCCATTTTTTTTTTAACAATATAGGAATTGTCAAATGCCTTTGTTGCATTTTTTGTTCAATTAAAGGATTTTCCCTATAAGTCTGGCCTCTTTTTTAAAAATGTAGTTTAACTCTTTAGTGAATGGGTAGGGGTACAAGTACCCCTTACTCATTCACAAGGGAGGGTGGTGCATCTGGGTACCCTGATGTGAATAAGCACCCCATTGAATGACACTGTTTTTATTTGTATCGATGCATTATTACTTTCAATAACATACCATATGCTTAAAAAAAAAAAAAAATTCCCACGAGATCTTAAGGGCCTGGTATGACTTGAGGGGGAACCCCACGCACTTTTTTTTTCTTTTTTTTTAATGGGTCCCTCCTAACACTCCTACCAAACCTAAAGGGTCTGGTATCGTTTGGGAGGAGGAACTGCACTTTTTTTGTTTTATTTATAAATGTAATTTTTTTGTCAGTTTTGCTGCAGTAGGTTCTATACATCGTACAGATTTTCCACTTTACAGGCAGTTTAAGGAGACCCCCCCCCCAGGCACGATATTTAAAGGAAATTTTCATTTTTATTGTTTAACTTTAAGCAATGTTAAAATCACAGCTCCTTTAAAAATTGTATTTTTAAAAAGTATTTTTTTCATTGATACATGTCCCCAGGGCAGTACCTGAATCCCCATACCCTTTTATGGCCATTAACTTGCATATAAGCCTTCAAAATGAGGACATTTGATTTTTCAAGTTTGGACCACATAGACTTGAATTAAGTCTGAATTCAAACTTTTTCCATGTTCTAAAGTTCGAATTCGAACCGAACTCGGGGGTGTTTGGCCAATCACTAGTACTGATAAGTTTCTAGCATCCATTGTCACAGCGGAAGTTGAAGCTGGACACATCCATAATGTGATATGGCAGAGAATACCTGACAAAGAAATGTGCACACTAAAAATTGTCATTAAAAAAATGTCTCCCTCTACCCTTTACTATCAAAGGATGTGCACACTTTAACTTTCTAACTATTTGTAAAAATAATAAGTTAGTTAAACCTTCCTGACTGGAATCAATCTGGTCACCAAAGTATAAAAAAAGGTAGTCATAAAGGGATTGAGGATAGATGTATATGTACATAGCATGTAAATATATTGGTTTTTCATAACCTTGTTAAACATAATAATTGCCCAAAATGAATGATTACCAAGCCAACATGAAAAAGCAATTGAATCAGTATTACATTATACAGCCTCTTATTTTATTTATGTCATAACTTTGTTAGGTGAAAGGCTTTACATTTTTTACACAAAGGGATACTAATTGTGATTCAAAGAGGAATGTTCCTCAGTCTAGATCACAGACATGTTCTGTACAGTTTCATGCATCAGTTTTGATTACTTACCCTAGGTCCCGGTGGCCCTGGTGGACCTGGAGTACCTCTGGGACCAGAATCACCCTAAAACAAAAGTATGTAGTTATGTATTCATTTTGATAAGATTTAGGGATTATAAAAGTGTGAATCTTAATGTCACTGATCATGTGTTTCCACACAAAGCAGTACCTTGTGAGAAAATGCAAACTTGTCTTTTAAAATTTAAATATGAAATTTATGATACATTAATCATTCAAATGACACAGCCATCTATTAGGTTGTATTTGTTAGAGTGTTCATGCATTCACAAATCCTATGCATTTAAGAACTTACTGTGCAATTTCCTGGCCATTATTATTCTATGGAAGGAGCCAAGATGCAACAACTAAAACAAACTAAATATAATGTAACAACTAAAAAACTAATCTCAAATTCTAACACATTATAAATATATTTGTAAATGTAACAAAATGCATTTTCATATAGAAGCAGTTTGCATTTTAAGGAGATACAGCTTCTTGCAATTAATTATTATGTATCCCTGTTATAGACACTGGGAGCCAACATCAGCAGAATGAAAGTACTCTGCAACACTGAAATTACACTTAATGGTGATTATGTCAATTCAGATGGTCTTATAACCCTATTCTGTTTATACAGTATCTTGATTGTGACAGGTAGCTTTGTGGAACAGTAGCCTTGCCATCTGGTTGGAGGTTGGATATACTTATTCATTCAGTCTATGTATTGAATTATTGAATCAATACTCCAATGTTGCAATGAAAAGAACTCTTGTGACCATTCAGACTGTGCTTGTCTGTCAATACTGTAGATTGTATGGTTCAGGAAGGTTTCCTCCTTAATTAGTGTATGAGCTCTCTCTTTCATTCTAACAGTTTCATAATTACTTACTATTGAGCCACTATACAATTGAACTGTATTTATGAGACTCCCCTGCCTTATAAAGTGTACGCACTAAGTAAGCAGGACTAATGTACATTAGACTTCCAAAACACAGCTCTATTCAGAATTTGCTCAAATAATACTGTAAAATATGAGCGTAATTTGCTTCCTCTTTGATATTACAGGATGTATTTAATTTTTATAACCTAAATAATGATAATTTACAATTTAAAATCGAGTTTATTTTCTTAATCTTCTTCTGCAAAGTGCAGAACCTAATGTTTTTACAGTTCCTTTTAGTAAAACAGAAAATAATCAGCTACTAATATTTTGATTGAGCTGAGAAATGTTACTAGCCTCAGTACTTTTATGCAGCCTCAGTACTAGGTATGCAAGATAAATAAGTGTTAAATATTGGTTCTTCCCCAGCTGGTACTGCTTTTTAGTCACACTAAACATCACCAAACATCATGCTCCTGGGAGAATGTAAAAAAAAAATTCTGCAGAGTTTCACTTTGGTGAACATTAGCAGGTATCCATGTACAGTATGTAAAAACTGTATGCACTCATGGGGATCTAGCAAATGTGCTGCAGATTTTTTTCTCATGTTCCATATGTGTAGATGAGGCAGCATTAAGCTTAGAGAGAAGGTATTGATGCATCATTTCTAACTGCTGCAACTGGGTATATCTCTAAAGCAAAGCCAGATTATTTATTTGATTTAGAGGGCATAAATGCAGTACAAAATAGTTTATTGTCAGAGTAAATAATGAACATTTAAAGACTGAGAAGACACTTACCACTGGACCACTGCGACCAAGTTCACCTGGGAGTCCTGATGGACCAGATACTCCCTAAAAGCAAATAAAAACAAAATGAGAAATAGGTTTAAGTATCAGCAGACATAATTACTTCTGGCCCACCCTTTAAAGGAAATAGATAGGAAAACAGATTCCAGTATTTATATAAATTTGTATTAATACTTTATAATAATATTTATTGCTTTTTAATTAATGTATTCAACGCATACAATCAAATGTGTATAGGCAGAAATATTTGGACTGCCATTGCTAACCACTGAAAACTAGCTGCCTAGCTGCCTTTAGCTTCAAAACTTTTTGAATTACTGATAGGGGAGAAGCATGCAATGAAGTCAGAGTAAAATGAGCAGAGGTAAGCAATCAGATATTTGCTTAGTACATGTTTTCTTTAATTGGTGTTGTTTTTATCTGCAGGGAGCAGATTTAAAGCATTTCAAATACAATTTCCTATCTACACATGTGAACTACTGTAGATAGTGTAAGCAATAATAATAAATGGCAATAAAATGACTTGCCATTTTGGTACATTATATGCAAAATTATCAGAGAAGATTGTCTACTGCCTGCTGTTGATATATGTACATTTGAAGCATGTAGAGCAGCCATTTTCAACTAGGGTTCCTCCAGAGGTTGCTAAGGGTTCCTTAGTTGTGGCTGATTGATCTCCCATCTGCAGGTGCTTGCATAATTCTGGGGCCAATGACACTTGGCCGAGCCAGTGATTTATTTAATCTTCAAACACCAATGATAACATCTTTCTAGCCCTCTGTAAAGTTTGCATTCTTCCCACAGACTACCAACGAAATGATGCAACCTTTCAACTAACCATAAAGCAGGGGGCATTTTTCCTCCCACTGATCATATGGATTTTAAATTATCCATTTTGGGTGTCAAATACTGTAGATAAGTAACATTCATTATTTTTTTTTATTATATCTACAACTTGCTGATATTATTTTAGCAGGGGTTCCCTGAGACTTGAAAATGATTTCAAGGGTTCCTCTGGGGTAAAAAGGTTAAGAATGGCTGATGTAGAGTGTGGCAGTGTCTTCAGTATACCTAGTGCTACAGCAGGTTTCAGGGACATTTCCCTTTACACAATACTAGAAAAGCATCTAATGCAGTACTTGACATGGACATTTGTACAATCCTTATCATTTGTTCTTCTTGTGACTAGCTGTGTAATGTTGCCATGCCTACACTTTTTACTTCTGCCTAGCAACTTTTTTTTAAATTCTCTCTAATGGCTTTGACATCAAGACCTACGTCCTAGCTAAACTGGCTATGCATGTTTCTGTAAATAATGGAAAAACAACATATTGAGGCAGATTCTTGGTGTTGTTTTCAACCAAGAAAACTGTCTGTTGGATAGATAGATGGCTGAAGCTATTTAAATTAAAACCTTATTCTATGCCCATTGAAGGGGTGTGAACTGTAATAATATTCTCACTTTGCCTTATGCTTAAACCAATTTATGTGCCATTGCTGTCTAAAGGATTTTTTTCAGAAGGGGCCATGTGACACGCGTGGCAAAAATAACATAATAAAAATTCTGTTTTTAGTTTGCTGTTTTGGCCTTTTGCTTATAGTGGCCCCAGACCAGAGAACCAGTGCACTCAAAGGAAACCCAAAAGCAGTCCATCACAACATACCACGTTGCCCTAATGTAGCCATATAGAAATATGTGGACATTTGGAAATGCCTTGTTCAGTATCGTTATAAATACTCTTTAAAGGAGAACTATGGGGTCAGTGTTTTTCCCCATAGTTCTCCTTAGGGTAACGGGAGGACACAAACTAGCATCCTCCCGTTACCCTAAGCTCAGTATACTTCAAGCTACAGCTCGCTGTATACTGAGACGCCGCAGCCGGAGCGGATCCCGACGTAGATGACGGGATCCGCCCAGCTGCATGATTGACAGCTGGCTCTGCCTATCTAGAGGCAGAGCCAGCTGTACCCGCCCCCTCCCCATCCGTTCCGCCAGTCAGCACTGGCAGATCAGAGAGGGGAGAGGGGAATCCAGCCCCTCACCCTGTCACGGCAGAGAGCCGTGACAGGATCGAGAGGTGAGCGAACCCGGTATGTGTTCGTTCACCTCCCGATCTACTGAGCTGACCTGTGACAGTCTCATTGTCACATGTCGGCTGGAACTATGAGGTGAGTGAAAAGCACTCACCTCATAGTTCTCCATTAAATCAGATATTGGTCTAAGTCTAATATATTTTTTTTTCTGCAAACAATAAATTGGTCTAAAACCAGTCATTACATTCATTATACAAACATGATGGCATGACTGAAATAAAAAATGAAATGTAGCAACTTTGCTTAAATAAATGAGGAATTAAAGTACTGTGAGGGAAATATGCAGCCATTAGCGGAGGTGTATGGATAATACAAAAGAAACATCAGAAGCCTTATTCTGCAAAGACTGAAAAAATGGTTGAAGAGAGGATCATACTTGGAATAGTAACTCTGGACACTAAGTAGAAAACCCTGGGCGCCAGGGTGTAGCAACACCCCTGCCTGGCACATTGCTTTATTCACCTTTATCGGATATGTGAAAGTTTAGGAAAATTGTTACAAACTTGTGAAAGAAAATAGAAAACACCTGAGATATTTTATATGAATATGTGCATATGCACTAATGACAGATAAAACATTTGAAGGTAGTTACTGATTTGCTAGAAAACAAATATACTGAAAGCTCTCTACTTACCCTTGGCCCTGCAACTCCACCACCCTTAGAAAAAGAAAACAGAATAATTAAATCTTATATATTTGAACTATACTAAAGTTTGCAGACATAAAGCATAACTATGATTCTTCTGTCGCCAAACTCTCCCATCGCCTTCTTTGCGTGAAAAACAATGGCAAACAATGGTAATTACATTTATAAACGTTTTAGAAAACTGGTTGCCTTGCGCATCATTAGCCCATTAGTCATCACTTACACTAAAAATGCTGTAATTTTTCGTAAAGGACAACATTTTCACTACCTTACAGGAAACAATAACTAGGATTTTTATTCTTAAACTATTCTTGTGTAGTGTTTTTAATTTGCTGATGCATTAGTCTATGGCGCTGAAAGAAATGTTCATTGTTTATGGGGAAGAGAAGTAATTGGCTGGCTAGCTGACAAAAACAATGAGAAGCCTGTAGTTCAGTGAAGATATTTGTGAGCTGTTCAGAAGTAACTAATAATGCAGCAATGATTTGCTGTTACTATGTTTAAATGGATTGGCACAGAAAGCCGTTCCTATTATTTGGCCCAAATAGTTAGAAAATGTGAGTTAGAAAATAAGTGAACTATGCTATCTGGAAGATAATAAGCATTCTAGGGTTACAAAAGCTTTAAAAATTCCCTAACTTCTGTTTAAGGAGAAGGTAATGACACCCCATGCCCTATGTGATAGCACTCAGTGCCTAAGGGACCTATCCCTTAGTGCCTAAATCTGTGCAAATACCAAGTTTAAAAATGTATAAATGTTGGATTTGCTTACTATCCCCCAGATTGTGCAGCATAGTAATTTAAAAACTTGCGTAAGTACACCTTAAAATATATATTAACTGAGGGACCTATCCCTTAGGACTTAAACCTGTGCAAATACCAAGTTGAAGCATTTTAAGGTTGGATCTTCTTGCTATCTCCCAGATTGTGTAGCATAGTAATTTTAAAACGTTCATAAGTACCCCTCAAAATCTATATTAAGTAAGGATGGCATTACAATGGGAGTAATGGTATTTATTGTATATTTTTAGAAGAAAGAAAAAATACAATGAATATAACGTGGTTCAAAACCACATTCTACGCAGTGAGGTTAATTTGCAACAAAATAAATAAATAAAAGTGTTTATTTTGTCTTTAGTGACCAGTCAAACTCCAGCTGTCACTCATAGGCACATTGTACACACAGGATTTAAAAAGGGATACTTAATGCACATTCCGGACACCCACTGTGCACTTCCTGGCATTGGTAGCTGAAAGAATGTGTTGATCTGCACAATTTAAAATACACAATCACTAAGTGAAGCTTTTGCTTCACAGAGTACCATATCTAGCTAATGTGAACTCTCCTGCATCTAGTTGCTATGAAACTGTGGCATGCATTTACTGCAATGGATATGCGCTGCGGCGCAGTACGAGGTAGAATGTACCCCGATTGTATAGCTTGTTTTTGTATATTTGATTACATTAATAAAGTATATTTTTCAATCAAAACAAAATGGTTCCCTTAGTGGACCTCAGAGAAAACACTGTACGGCCAACTCTTAGACTGATCAGTCTTTCTTAGATGAGTGAGTTTATAACTCTTGTTGCAGGAATTTTTAATTTAACAAAGCCACTCTAAACTCCACACATGTGTGTGCACATTTTGGCTCAATATTACAAACTAATAGTAGAAGTGACTATAACAGTTTTATTTTGTTGCTGTTTCTTGTTTTCATTAGGTTACCTCATATTCAGGTAGACAGATTCTTTCTCTAGTTAAAACCTGTACATTAGACCTATACTGTATTACTTACAACAAGACTGGCCACCTGAGATCAATGTTTTCAGGCAGCTTTAGCAAACTGAAAAACTTTAACCTGGACAATCATAGTGCGACAGTAATAAACAGAAAGAGCAGCCTGCATATATTGTATAAAAATATGGTCACCTCCATGTACATTTCTAATTACAGCCTATACATAAAACAAATCCCATACAAATACTGCACTCCACAGGATCGTCACCAAGTATAAAATAAAAGTCTTTATTCACCCATCGGGCTTAATCGTAGAACTCTCGACAATTAAGCCTGATTGGTGAAACGCATTAGGGGCTGGTAGATAACATTGGAGGAATGAAAGAGAGTATTTGGTATTTTGCATATAGACTTTTTTTCTTGTTAAAGGGCATGTGGAGTGCAGTATTTGTGTGGGATTTGTAACTTGGACAGGAGAGCGGTTTCACACCAGCACATGGGATACTCTCGAGGTGGGGAGCCATTGAGAATGGGAGCGGTGATTTGTCTGCTTTAGTATACATAAAATACATTTTTTTAAAGTACAGTTTACTTAGTGGCTAAGGGTTTTTCACCCATGAATTTACCAAGGTCTATCAATGTAATATATTTACAGTAGTTTTTGCAGTTTCCATTCCTTCAAGAGGTCACTATTAGATTAAACCAGATGTTTACATATGCATACTGTATGCTTATGTGGGGGTGAAGTGGGGAGCTGAGGGCTGCTTTCAAATACACTTACATGGCAAATCAGTGGAAAGGCAGGCATGCAATACAGGTATCTAGTCGCTGCCAATGCTTGTAACACCACCAGCACTGCAATGATATTAGTTGGTACAAAGTCCATTTCTGGCTAAAGGTATTCCCCTACCTGTGAGCCATCTTATAATAAGACAACCCCAAATACAATTACTAAATAAATTGTCTAAACAAGAGACTCCTACCAATTGCAAATACATGATAACTTTGATTGTTTAGCTGTGAATAGTAACCTTTGTTTTGGGTAACTACAGCAGTTAAAGCACCATATGACAACAACAAGGGATGGTGAAACACTTAATATGGGCACTGGATGTCAATCTGCATCCAAGGCTATTGCGCAGCCTTAATTTGTAGCGGGGAGGGCTGTTGGAATTACATTACTACCCTCATTGTAGACTGGAGAGCTGGAAGGCTGTGAAGGATGATGCCCATTTGTAATCAATATAGTACATAAGGTCCATATCCTTACATCTCTGAGATGGCAAATAATTATCTACTGCTGCCAAACATTTATGGAGCCTTTGTAGTTTTATTTTACACTTAATTCTAAAGGGGACAACAAGATTTATTTCATGTAAAAAAAATCATATTTCTGTCTAGCAGACATATATAATTTGACCTCAACTAAGCTATGTTTCACATTCATTTATCTGTAAAGCAGTGGCTGAAAGTATCATATTGTAAGATAGAGCTGAGTCATTTTAAATCAGACCATAGAAATATGAAGCCTAGACCAGTTATGCTGAGCCTAGCAAGCTACAGAACATAGTATTGGAACTGTGACATTAGTGCTACAGAAAGAGATATTTGGGAACAGTTTCCAAACTGAATCTAGCATCTGCTAGTTGATTCTTTCTTATAGTTTATCTGTATCATCCGATGGCAAATAGCATTCATGTCACTTCCTGGTAGAGGTAACACACTTGCAGAAAAAGTAATATGATGCTGGTGAGATAAAGCACAACATTGCACAGGAGCTGGAGGAAGACATATATAACCAATGCATTGAAGCTGACACAATGATGAAAAGTATTTATTTATGGTAACCCAAACCTGCTGCATTATGCCCTTTTAATGCTTTCCTTTTTTGTAATATGTGGATATGTCAACAAGCTTGAGTACAACAGTGTTTACAGCAGCATTAACCACTATATACTGTAATCACATGATGTACAAATGGCCTTTGTACCCATAGAGTATCTAGATACAACAACTGATCATGCTTTGCATTAAGACGTTTTATTATATATTATATTACACTTACAGATAGTCCGCGAGCCCCTGGAGCTCCTGGTTCACCCTAAAAATAGATATTGGATCATTATAGAAAGCATAATACTTCAGGTGTACAGCACATTTCTGCAGCATCATCAATGATAATTTCAGTGATAAAAATGCTAGAAGAATAAAGAAGGTCAGATCTCTGTCAGTGCACGTGTCTGTGTATGTCTGTCTTTCCGGTGTTTTTATGTCTTTTAGGTGTTCCTATGATCCGTATCTTGTTCTAGGTTTTTGCTTCCTTTATGTAATGCTTCCCACCTCTTTAGTTTGGTTCTTCCAGAACCAGAATTACTGAATTTCATACTGATGCACAGCAATTGTATTGTGTGATTCTGGTAAATTCCAACACATCAATTCCCATATGAATGGTTTATGATTTCACTGATGCACTACATAAACTTTGTAATGTTTCAATATTTTTTTGTGAACAAATTAAATAGTTAATTTTTGGGCACGAAAGCTAGAGCATTGGAACCTTCAAGAGTTTTATGATCCTGTTCTTAAAACAAATCCGAAAAAGTACATGTGGGAGCTTTATTCCCCCATATTTCAACCTAGTTGCAGTTCTTGAATGAAGAGCTGAACCACCACTGGATGATTAAAACAGATGACTCTAGAATTTATTTTGTAGGCCTTTCTTAATAAATTAGTGAAGTGGGAGGTGATTTTTATTTATTTATTTTCATTTGGAGAAGTTTGTACTTTTTGCCATGCATACTGCATCATGGTTATTGGATATTTAGGCTAAAGGAGCCCTTTACAAGTTCAACTTAGAAGGGCTAGAGCAAGGGGCCCCTTTTTTGATTACCAGGTCATCTGCAAGTTTACCGTCATCTTGATTTTGGAATAATTGTAGGTTATCGATATTTGGGTGTAGAACTTTTAGTACCAACATGAAATGTGGATTTGCTTTGTGAATATCTGTAAATGTTAGTTTTGATCAAACAAGTGGCAATAACAAGCATTTAATGTGTGTGGGTATCTCTCTCTCTCTCTCTCTCTCTCTCTCTCTCTCTCTATATAT